ATAAACTATCTGCTATAAATATTGAAAAACATTTCATCTATTCAAATGTTTATTTCTTCATTGACAACTATGATAAAAAAAAATGTATATATAGTTGAAGATTCAGAAAGAACTTCAATATCGGTTGTCTGGCAACACGAGGAATACGTATCGACACGTGATCCCCGAGGGACATGTAGTCTTATCCAAGAACAGGACCGCACACAGCCTGATTTTAAAAGACGCACAGCTTCCCACTTCCATCTTTCTCTCTAGAGAGCAGTTTTAAAATTCAACCCCATGCGCAGAACTTACGGTGGGGGGGGGGGAGATGGTATGTTACACGGCGTTCATATCAATCCTGAGGATCGATAGAAAGCTCTCGATAGTTCGCTATAGGGATAGAATATTGTTTCCTAACGTTTTGCAGTTACTTTGAAAAAGCCATTCTCGACTAATTTTACATATAGCAGAGGCAGTTTTTATATCGAACACACTTTGCTGGTGTGTCGCGGAAATAAAATAAACACATTTTCGCGCTCGCGAATATATAAAAGTGCTCAATTGTGAAATACTAGTAATTTCAGATAAATACAGTCCCCATCCAGAGTTAAATTGACAACATAATTCTTTTGATGAAACGTTTTTACTTCCCTGTTTTCCAATTAATCACCTCCATGCACGACAAAATCATGGATTCTAGGTTACGTTCGAATGCATGTCGCGCGTATCAGGAGCGGCTGGCCACGTCGCGCTAATCGTATCGATCGAGCACTCTTAATCCATTAATGAACTTCCCAGGCTCGTTTTACCCTGGGTATCCGGGCTTTTCGCAGGCGCCGTCTATATCTGTTACATCCCGCTGTTAAATGTGTGCGCGTGTGTGAGTGTTGCGCCTTTGCTTCATGTACGTTCGCTGACAAAAGTTAAAAATCAAAAACTGCGTAGGTTTTGTAATTACGTTACGGGAAAAAAATTCGTATATATAAATATTTTGACGCACACGTTTATATTTTTTATAATGTAATATCACACAATATAAATAATCGATAAAAGTTAAAATTGATGTAACATCTTGCCGGAAAAATGGTTTAAAATTTTGCGTATCATTTGTTGCGTATTGTATAATAAAATATATGACAAAGAGATTTAGCTAATTTAATTATTATTACATACGCGCGAATATTAATGTTTTTCTCTTTCATCGTCGCACACAGGTTGAATCTTGCAATTCTCAGTCTGATTATATCGGCACTTTTGGCCACGACTCTACAAGTATACATATATGTATTTGTATAATGCGACACTTTGCAGACTCTTGTTGGTTGACAGTGATTTTCCATGGGATACAAAACTGTCGTTAGACCCTTTTGCGAAAAGGTCTGTCCCCCAACCCCACGTACGTAGCTCGCCTAAAACTTTTCCTACGAACCGCACGCGAGGGTGTAATGCCGCTCACACATCGAAGGGTTAGAAATTTCTCGTCACTTTGCTTCTCTTTCTCTCTCCGTTCATTGTCTTTCTTCCATTCACGCTGACGCTTCGCTCGAAATTTGAGGGATAAGAGATCCCTGTTGTGTGTTAAACAATAAAAACAAGTCAATCAGTTATCACAAGTGCGCAACTTCGGCGCAATTTAAGATAAAGCCACAATTAAACTTTTTAAACTGTCTAACAACAATTTGAAGAAAAATTAAAGAAAACATATCGTTAATGCTTTCAGACGTATTTTGCACGCGCAAAATTTTAACAATCGTTCGAAATTTCTTTAAGAAGAGCCGCCGAACAAGCGATAAGCATCCACCAACGCCGCCTTCATTCGCGACAACAAATTCTTCAAATATTTATCTGCCTCGCACACCCTCGAATCTCTCCAGTACGTCGCCCCAAACGCCACTTCCGTTTCACACTCGGCGAATGTGTCAATTCTGACGCCTATCGACGTATGACAAACACCCGTCTCGTCTCCCGCTAGTTGTCGCCTTGTCGCTTCTAACAACTCTGACAATCGGGACAAAAGAAACGATGCAAAAACGGAGGAGAAGGAGAAGATTTCGAAACATTTTAAGAATAAGATTTCTATTTTTTTTTTTTTTCACAGATTCGTTATCTACATGTATGTATAAAATTTATTTATTTAATAGAGATATTTTGTTTTAAAGCTTCCGATAAAATATAGGAAATATTTCTCCAACCGTGAGAGACACAGACAAAAGAAATCTCATCATTCCACATCTTCCACGTGGGACAGTAAAGTCTGCGTCGATTAGATCGAATGTTCGTGACGTGTTTCGCGCGCCGGCTGCATGCAATTAATTTATTTTTCCCCCGTTTGAGCGTTAATTGTTAAACTTAGATGGGCGGTCGTCGACGATCCCGCAGTTAGACTCCAAGATGGAAAGAACAAGACGGCGAGCCGTAAAGAAGAGAGAGATGAGGAGACAGGGATGCACAACGGGGACGTTTATCGCTAACGGAACGAAGAGGGAAGAACGTGTAGAAGACGACGACAAGAGGAGAAATCGAGTAGGAGTGAGCCGAGGAGGGTTGCTGCTAGGCCGGCGGCAGACCGAGACGGGAGAATCGAGAAGTTCCGAGAAGGGAGGCGGCGGGAAGCCAAGGCGCGACGCGCGACGCGACAGATAGATTGGGTTACCGAGATAATTAGAACGATGATCGGAAGCGATGCACGCTTCGTTGAACGATTCTTTTTAGACGGTCGGTTGTTCGATACTGTTGTCGGCGGTCGTGTTTCCGTGTTTTTTTTGAGAGCTAAGCGATAAAAGTCACGAAAGTGCCCACCGTAGGGAAGATACGATCGCTGAACGCGTTCCTGCTATGGAATAAAGACCGAGACAGGACACAACGCGACTTTTCCTCGTCGATAAGTCTGAACGACGTAGATATTACGACACCCCAGTGACACATTTTTATGCGCCGCAGCTACGACGTCGTCGTGTGATTGGTCGTTGAAGTCGGGGCGCCCCGTGAGATCGCTTGACCGGAAATGTGTAGTCCCCGTCGTAAAAACATCTACGGCACGTTCCGTCCGGCCGGAATATTCATCGCGATTCTTCGCGAGAACGATTTTTCTCGGGCAATCTTCTTCATCGGCAAAGATTTTCGGGAACATCTTGTCTGAGATATATCACAATATTGCGCAAAGTTTGTTATCAGCGAAGATCTTTTTTCATTCGGGCTTTATGGTTCTTAGATTACGCGCTATTCTGTGTTCGACGTCGCGCTTGACTTTACTCTATTTGCGTTGAGGGACATCTGAATATTTAATCGGCCTTCAACCCCAACCTCGCCTTCTTCGCTCCTCCGCAAACCCCGCTCTCGTCCGACTCTCAGTCCCAGCTGCGGTGAATTATTTAATACCCCCAGGGAGACCGGTTACCTATGTGAATCGACGTGTCAGCGAGATTTTAGTGTTCTTTGTTCATATTTCTTCGTCACGTGCAACATCAACGGCCATGTAACTCTTGAGTATCATTGTGTCATGAATTGTACCAATATATAGTAATAGATTTGGATTAGGCCTAGTATCTCTCTCTCCCGCGTCTTTAATTCAGTTTATCGAATATATAAATTGTTTCAAATGACATTTTCGAACTATAGACACATATGATCTTGAAAAAATAATAATAGCAACAACAAATTTTTATATTATTTTTATATTATGTGTATTTGTAATTTAATTTTGTTATATTCTAACACTTTCTTTTTTGACGAAAGTATCACATATAAAGTATCTAAAATATTAAATATAATATTGAAAAATAAGATAAAGAAAATATTTTAAAGAATTTCGCAGTTTTCGTTAAAACCAACTCGGTACATGTACCGAGTTGTTCGACAAATAAAGGTTGGGAGTAAATAATGTGTAAACACAACTGCTGCTATATCGAAAAATGTACATATGTAGTATGTCGTATAGCTGCGCGCTATACACTATATTCAATGAGCAAATCAAAATTATAAAATAATTTTTCCAATGTCATTTTGTTCATAACATCAATCCTATAATTTACAAACTTAAAGTTAAATTTATTTCTAATTTTGCAAGTGTGTGTTGAGAGATATACAATATACACCGTATCGATTATGCTTTAAACACCTGTACGTATTCAGTTGTTTTTGCAGCGCACCTTGCGGAGAATAACGGTACCAACGGAACAGTTTCTCTTGAATGTCTTTGAACTCTCCTTGTGTATTTAACGCGCATACTTTCTTCTCTTCTATTGGTAACATATAGTATATTCTTGTAATGTTAAAAAAGCAAATATAACATATATTTGACAATAAAAATTTAGTAAATCAAGAATAATTTTGAAAGAAATAAATAATTACATTTTTTTGTTGAAAAATTCAAACTTTTTAGAAGTTAATTGAGTGCATTGTTTAATTAATGCCATTCTTTCAAAAATAGATATTACAAGAGCTGTAGAAGAAATAAGTAAATTGACAACATATATTTTTCATTATTACTATTATAATAATAAAAATGTTTAATATATATATATATATATACATATATATATAATGGATATGTATTAATTATATATATATAATTATATGAAAATCAGATGATTAGATACGACAGAACGCTATTGAGCGTTCAAAAAAGACGTCTTAAAGATGTCTAAAAATAATAAGACGTCAAAAAGACGTCTTAAAGATGTCTAAAAATAATAAGACGTCAAAAAGACGTCTTAANGTCTAAAAATAATAAGACGTCAAAAAGACGTCTTAAAGATGTCTAAAAATAATAAGACGTCAAAAAGACGTCTTAAAGATGTCTAAAAATAATAAAACGTCAAAAAGACGTCTTAAAGATGTCTAAAAATAATAAGACGTCAAAAAGACGTCTTAAAGATGTATAAAGATAATAAGACGTCTTTAAGTCGTCTTTTAGATGTCTTTTAGAGATCTATGCTGTCTGCGTAAGTTAGATAAGTGTATTTAATGACGTAGAACACAATGCTCAAATGGTAAATATACAGATATAAACTGTCATGTTTAAATGCCAGTATCAATCTCAAGTACATTAAGTATCGCTTGTCATAGCAACCACGATAAGCAAAGAAACATACATAGGTAACATACGTGACAATTTCAGAGATTATGAGAAGTCGGCACACACAGAAGTGATAACGCATATGTTAACATAGCGCAGAAGCAGATTCTCGATTGTAGCGTACGGTTGAATGCAGCACAGTGATTATGGCAGAGGGACCAGAATTGAATTTTTTCGATTTACGTCTAGTACACGATCATTTTGACAAGGCTCTCATTGAAAATGACGATATCGATCTAAAAGCATATTTAGACGCATATAATGAATTATACAAGTAAGTCATATTCGCTTGATGTTAGCTCAACATAACCTTGTTAGCAAGCATGTGAATTTTATAAAATGTTGAAAATTCTAAGTAATGTTAAAAAATCTAGATATGATCGAAACGTTTATACTTGCTTGTTTCAAATAAATCAATTTCTTACTTTTTTACACATCAACACCGGTGTTATGCTCTAACTGCCTTCAACCACACTATTATTAATTACTTGGAGCTATTTATCGTTTTCAACATATTTCTAGATATGAGGTTGATGACAATTGTTCGAACAAACCAAATAAAATCTTTATATAAAGATACAGTACCGACTATAGTCAGACTCAAGCATGACGCACTGTACAAAGTCTACTAACTAAAAATTGTGTCGTTATAACATTATAGTTTTAAAATTTCTTACAATTTACTATGTGATATACATTCAATTTACTATATCGATCAATTGATAAGGACTTAAACAATAAAGTCGAAACGTTTTGACACTTAATTATCTACTGTTTTTTACTGCATAACATCTTGCAAAGGCTCCTGATAGCCGTTGGATTCAAATCATATTATTGGATTTTCCAAAGAGAGCCAGACGTGACACCTCTCCATTTTCACTTTCTTTATATAAAATTTAATTTATTTAATAAAAATGTGAAGTGAACTGTTTCTCAGTTGCGGTACCATGTCAAAAGCTGTGGTTGTTTTCCGTTTATAACATGCAATTGTGAGCTGTACATCTAACTCAACTAATTTATCATATACTATAAATACATTGAGAAAGATCCAATCTAAGGTCGAAAACGTTTTGTTACTCAATAAATTAATTACATCGCACACACTGACAACTGTGTTTGCTCCATACTGCCAATTTTTGAATTCCTGAATTAATTTATTTAATGTTCGATTTATCAAGATAAGCAGTTGACAAGCGCATTCGACAATCTATGATATCTTGAACATGAACATATTGAAACGAGAACAATAGATGGAATAAGTGACAGCTGCGTTTAAAGAAACTAAATTATTAGTACATTTATCATTTACATATTATTACAATGTATAATATACAGCTTATGCATTTACTACTTATTTCCAAATTTTATAACAAATGCTTGCATATCGCTTAAATATCGTACAATAAAGCAACGAATAGACCATATGTGAATTGTGTCACTTGTGATTATATAAAATCATGCAATATTGTGATTATATCAAATCATACGATATCATTATCTGTGACTAAATCCTTTTTGTTGCTATCTAAGATTAAAGACTTGATATTGTGTAACATTTAGGTTGTGTAACACGGTACGTATGTAGATTTTTCCAGTTAATGGGCAGTGTCTTCAGTTTTGTCTCGTCTGATCTCAAACAAAAAATAGACATCTTAATTGAACAGAGAAGCAAAGATAGTCAGAATTACACAACCATCAAGACTATGATTGATTATGAGAAGGAAAACAATTTGCTTGAGAAACCCGACTTTGTGAATGGCGCACGTACTTTATTAAGATTACATAGGGGTTTAGGTACTCTATGGCCTTATTTCCTAATATCTGTTTTTTAAAACTTTAAAACTGATCAAAATCATTCTGGTCTTTTAGATTTTATAAGAGAATTTTTGCGACAACTGGGTGATTTAAAAGATTGTGATAAAACATCCAGTTGTTGTCAAGATGCATATGGTAAAACTCTGGCCAAGCATCATCCATGGGTGGTGAGAAAAGCTGCGATAGTAGCAATGTACACTATGCCTACTAGGGAAAATTTGTTCAAAAAGGTACACATACAAAAGGTTTAAGAGAATGTTTTTACGATTACGAAATGGTAGAATAAAATTCCTTTCACTTTTTACCTGACCTTCAGGTCTGTGGTGACAACATTCAACGTAATATAGATGTTTTGCCCAAGATGTTGGAAGTGACTGCCGACGTGTTCAATCGAACTCATACTATCTATGAAACTTACAAGTTGCACGATCTACCATAAGTGGTTACATTGTGCTACCATAGTGATATTGTACACTTTATACGTGTAGCTTTTCCAAGCACCGCACATTCCCACGATTCTTACAATATTGTGATATTACTCTATGTAGTATTACCAAGATGTGTATAATTGGCGTACTTTTTCGAGATATAATAAATAAGTAATGCACGCTTATATTTGGTGATGCACATATTCTTTCATCACACACACATTGATATTTTATAATTATTATACATACTGACAAATGTACAAATGTTGGCACTTATGTACTATAAGTTATTACTTTTATAAAATGTAATTTTTATTATTTTATTACTGTGCGTAAAATTGAGGTTTTAAATGAAGATTTTGTTAAACGCTTAAATAAAAATTTAAACGTCGATCGAATTTAGCTTTACATATGTCAATGCTTTATTGTAAAACAAATTAATGTATAATTATATAAAAATGTAATATTAAATATATAAAAAGAAATATATAATAAACATTATCTCTTGTTGTTTTAATAATATACTTGCATAATTACAATTAGTTATATCAGTAGTTCTTTATATACTTGTTATTTTTTTTAAAGTAACTTATTAAAGACTACGTAAAGAGAAAGAATTGTTGTAATGCAACAAACAAACAAATCGTTCTAATGACAAATTAGAGATGTTAGGTTTTATATACATAAATAGTTTACTCGTAAAATATAATACAAGATATAAATATTAGTTACTATGAGTGCATTTGAAGAGCGCGTTATTAACATTATATAGCGTCATCTTTATCTTTCATTAGATATACAAAATGTCTCACGAGTGTTGTCGTTTGATATAACTTTTGAATGGTAGGTAATGGGACAAAACTTTAAGGACACTTTTATCGTGTTTTTTTAATAAAATGTCACTGCAAAAAAAGAATTTTTTATCTTTAACAAAGACATATTCTGAACTCGTTTTTTCCTGTATATTAATAATATCAAAACAAAAATATAGTATTCTATATAAAAAACATAAAATGACCTTTTCTTTCTTCACAAAATTCTTTCTTCAAAGTAACATAACATAAAAAAATACGATTAAAAAATACGATAAAAGTTTCTCCTTAAATTGTTTTCCTATATAAGTTATAAGTTTAAGAGTTCTATCAAACGTCACTTATCATAAGATAAAGATAAAATGAATCTTTCGAGCGTTTTTCGAATGCTTCTTGTATCAGTCTACATTTTTTTTTGTGATTTTTAAGTATTATCGACTTAATTATCTTAACTTTGAAGATAACTTATAAAGATATAATAATAGTGTAATCACAAGTTGTTATAGTTAATCATATTAAAACAGACATCATGTTTCTCTAATTAAATTTAGATATTAGAATAAATATTAATGTAATATCATTTTTTTTGTTCATATATATGTGCAATGTTTTAAAAAGTCACATTAGAAGTACTTAGTGTTGCCATGTAGTAATGTTTGACATTGTAGTAGTGCTATTATTAGAAGGCGAAGGAATTTCGTCAATTAGTATGCCTAAAACAATAATAAAATTTTCTTGATAACAATATTTGTGACGCGTGTGTTGATAGCAAATCGACTTATAATAGTTGTAATATCAAGAATTGCAACTTTACCAGCAATGCTAGCTGTAAGAAAACAGGTGGCGCTGCCGACGACAAATGATCGCAGAATGACACGTGTTACTTGTTCCTTTTTCTCTGGCGCCAAAGAAGAAAACAAACCGATCTGGATACCGATTGAACTTGGATTTGCGAAACCGCAAACCGCAAATGTGGCGATCGCTTTTGATCTTGCAGATAGATCTTTCAATTCTCCCATTCGTTGATAAGCAATTAGTTCATTGATTACTACCTTCAAACCTATTAACATTCCTACTTTTTCACATTCATCCCAAGGAACGCCCATAATCCAACTCAGTGGCATAAAGATTTTTGCCAAGATAATCTGAAAATCTATAATCTTATGATTTGCTCGAAGAGACACGAGCTATAAAACTATCTAGAAAGTTATTACCTCGAGACTTAAAGCTTCATACCCAACGAGACCGCCGCACCAGGAAAACACCGCATTTACGAATGCAATAAAAGACACGAAAGCAACGATGTTCGCGATTATACCCAGAATAATTGGGAGTGCGGCCAACGCGCCATTTGTAGCAGCATCTATAATGCTGGTGTCCGACCTGTTTGTAATTTTTTTTTATATTTCAGTAATAGTCATTTTTAAGATAAATAGTCTCTCCAAGATTTTGGACTTACGACTTTTCAAGCTTGATATTATCATATTTCGTGAGACTTTGCTCGGTCTCTGGATAAAAAAGCTTGGAATAGTATAAAGAAGTTGGCGCGGACATCACGGATGAGATGATTAAGTGAGTCGGATTTGCGCCAAATGATATGTAAGCAGCTAATACGGAGCCTGTAAATTCGAAACTTATAAATTAAAGTTTAATAACAACAATAAATTGAAACTTATCAACTTTGCGTAACAAACCAGAAACCGTAGAAAATCCTGAGCTTATTACAGCGTGCAACTCCGAGGAAGTTAATTGGTTGATGTACGGTTTGATCATTAAAGGAGATTCTGACTGAAAAATGAAATAAATTTTAAGAAGTCTCTTGGTTGTGAGAAATGTATAACTAAAAGAAGAACAAATTGAATATGCAATCATGTAAATAACGTGATTTCTTAATACGTGATGTGTAGTACCATTCCGATAAAGGGATTAGCAGCGGCGACTAATGACTCACAGAGCGTCGTACCCATTATGCTTTGTAAAACCCATCCTAGTTTTAAAATAATCCATTGCATTGCACCAAGATAAGTTAAAATTTGCACGAAAAAACTGAAGAAGAAGAGCACAGGCAACACCTAGTAAAAATAAAATACACCAATAACAATTATTTAATTATAAATACGTATAATGTGTAAATAAATTATTTGTATATGTGTTTTATTTGTATAATTATATTTATTTAAATATACGTAAAAAGTAAATTTGTACTAACGGTAAACGCGAAGACTGCTATTTTATCAACTAGTTCATTTGAGAATACAAATCTAGAACCTGCTTTAGCAAAATTTAAGAAAGTGGCCACTTTATTGGATATGCATTCAAAAATACTACGACCAACAGGCCATCGAAGCATAATAAGTCCAAGCAAAAACTGCAAAATCAGGCCCCAAAAAACAGTTCTCCACTTGATCTGTAAATTTGTTATAGTTATGCGACACGATTATTATAAAATATATGACAAAGCTAAATGAAAAAAAAAGAAATTGTACATAGCATTATATTTAACATTTTATCGAAAATAATAAAAATTACATTTAAAATCTGTGAATAATATTTGAATTTCTTTATGAGAAGTGAAATGTTTTGAGCAAAAGATTCAAACACAAGAGGTCTGCGTGCATTAAATGTATTAGACGATTTAATGAAGTGGGTTAATTCTAGCGGAATTAGCGACGCGTCTGCCTACGCGTCTCCAGCAATTTTCCTCGGTCTCTTCTACACTCATGTGTACATATCAGAATAATTGGAGCGCGTTCGAGCCGATGCGAGAGATAGGGATGATTGTTACGTAAAATGTGAAGTTCAGTAGTGATTCAACTGATGACTTCTTTTCCCGAAGAGAAATTATTCAAATACGACACACCAAAACTAATAATAGATATTCCTTCAATCAACGGTAATTGATATTCGCGTATATAGAGGCACGGTGTGCCTCTTGATGAAACATAATCGGAATCACATTTGTATCATCGAAATTGAAACAATATTTAAAGCTGTAAAACATAGATTTACTTACTTGTTCGGGATGTTTAGAGAATATCCATCCAACCCCTAATAAGACAATAACTCCAAGGATACTAATCAATCTGTATCTATGTTCTGCGGTATCGATAATAAGAAAAATAATAACAGCTAGTAGTACTAGTAAGTAAAAGATTATCGCTCCGATACGCGTACCGTATCTGAAAATTTTACATGTTAATATGTTTAAAAATGATTTTCACACTTTCAGACAAAATAATATCAATCATTTTCTCACTTGATACTTCGGAAGCGCATCAAGAAATTCGTTACTGGCCAGCAACATTGTGCAATGTACTTTGAAAGATATCGTTTTATAATTAAAAAATAAAATAAGCTGATATGAATAATTCCTACAAGTAAAAGTAGCAAACCGTAACCATCACACCACTGAAGATTGTAATCATTGTCTGAAATAAAAAAAATATTATTATTATTTATATATCTTTCAGTAAATAATCTATGTATCATATACCGTTATGGACCCAGTTTTTGATCAGTACCCAATTTTTAATCAGTTGTTAAAAAAGTATTATAGTAAGGTTTTGGTCATAAAAATTAATCCGAAAATAATTTTGGCAAAATAATTAATTATTCCGACATCTATACACCTTCTTTCGAACTAATTTTGATGACCAAAATCTTACTATATTTTTTTTAACAAACTGATCAAAAACTGGGTATTAGTTCAGTGAAATTCAGAAAAGTATTGTGTGAACTTGTTCGAGTGTCTAATTTAAGTATTGAAAATTATTTTAGGTATATTGTAGTAACAAAACAGGATATTAATTTGTATATTATCTTATATTGATTAATATAATATATTTGTGAATCACGTTTATCTAATGTGCAATTTTTTATTTATTTATAAGATATTATTTATTTATGTAACTTATTAAATTACACTCGATTAGTATAGAAATAAATTTACATACTGTTATTTTTCCAATATATACCCGCATAAACGACATAAGCTATAATGAACAGATATAAAATTATAAAGCCAAACGTCTTAAACACTTTTCGATGTTTGGAAACATAGGCATAGAGCGCATTTGATTTTCTTGACTTGTTATAAGGGCTAGCATTCTGTAAGAACATACACACAGTGCTACATATTAATAGTGTAATTTAAATTTTATTACTATAATGTTATTTTGTAATATTACTCGATATATATGTATAATTTCTAATGACAATAGAAATTTCAATTTTGGTTTATTTCAATTTTGTATTTTACTTCTATCTTAAAGACATTATTAAATATATAAAATTACATACAATTATCTGGTAATACCTATTGCTTAAGAGGATACTGAAGCCCGGCCTGTAAACTGGATAGAGACCTGTAAACCGACGTTTTAAAAACCTAAATTTCTCTAATTTTTAAGTTTCTCTACTGCATTACATAAAAAGTGCTTCTATAGAAGCAAATACATATAAACAAACTATTTAGTGCTTTTGAAAATAGATATATAATGCCTTTTGAAACTTTTTTTTTCATTCATAATGATTGCATATGATAACCTATACTGTCATCACACTAAGACGTTGTTCTCATTAATTAGATAGTCATACCATAATCTGAATGTTAGATACCATAATCTGAATGTCATTAGATTCGTTTTTGTCGTATCTTTTGGCGCTTGTTCATTGTAAATATGTACATAAGCTTAGAAATAATTCTGCATACACGAATATATAATGAGGTTATAGAAGGAAACCGTATAAGAAAAAATTTATGCTGAATTTTGACATTTCAAAGAACAAGCGCCAATCCTTAGCGCTATTTATATATTTCTGTAGAAGCATTTTTTAGATTTGATGCGGTAAATACGACTCCAAAGGACTTAGGAGAAACGTCGGTTTGCAGGTCTTTATCCAGTCGGTATCCAGTATCCTCTTAATAACAAAAAATATATTAAAATTATATGATTTGTTATGTCTGCGAGTATTCTCAATTAAAAACACTTACGAATAAATACTGTTTTGATTGTTTCGAACAAAGAATATTTCTTCGCCGCGCAACGATAATGAGAATAAAACGAAAGCGACATACTTACGTGATTCGTAATAGATTCAGTTTTTCTGTGACCAGTTTCTATCACGTCTAGGTCATTCTCCTAAAAATAACATTAAAAACTTTGCTTTTCACAAATAATTTTTTATTATCTTGATATACATTTCAAACATTAAATGCATATCGCGGGGAGCTTTTTGTGTTGTATATATTTGAATAAAAAACAATTTGAAAATTTTAAGATTTTCAAGGAAGAAAAGCCAGAAAAGAAATTTATATTCCTGACTGTATATTAAAAGAAGAGAAGTAAAAAAAGATAGATTTTTATCAGTGACTTACATAATATATAAAGACTCTCTCAACGTAATGTATGTAAATAATAATAATAATAAATATACAAAAACTAAATAAATTTTACTTCAAACGAATGATTCTCTTGTCCAGACATCTTATGTTTCGATTGAGATGTATATTTGCTCTTCCGTCGTTCCTTTCGAAACACTGTTAAATATATATACACACACACATACACAGACGCGCACACACACACAAGAAACGTGTTTTTCCGAAAAACGAGAAGAAAAACACCATGTCACGTGGATAAATACTTGTATCGTATATCACCTTAAAGTCACCAACAGATAACAAAGATTATAAAATTTTATTGCAGTTTATGTCAATAAATAAATAATAGTATATTACTTGTGCAAATAAATTTTACATACTGAGCCATATTTTATCGAAACGAGTTATATTTCAAAGGTTCTCGTTTAATTGCATTTTTCTTCGTGATTCCGCAAACTGATAAAATTTTGTACCTAGATTTCACGTTAATTCTCGTATCGATTAATCTTGAGATAAATACTCAACTCGCGATAAATACTCAAGTAGCTTAATAAAGAAAAAACCCGATAACACGTGAAAATACACATATGTACAATCGCAAAAGCGTTCTCGTCACTTTGTAACTACTTACGTGTCGCTCGAAGTACAACTGAAAATTAACGACGAGGTAGAGAGTTTGTTATGCAACAAGATACGAGTATAAGCGGGGAGACTTCCCCTCTTATTGTGACACTTTGAATGAAAAAACAGATATAGCTAATATCGCCTCTTTTGCAATTGTGAAACTAACGATAGAGATCTTGATGCGCTAAGATTTCACGTTCGTCAAATAGCCTTTCACTTTTACAATTTATGATTAAGTAATTAGGAGAATTAAATCTTTTATATGATTAATAAACTTTAATTTAAATTATTGTTATATTATTTAATTTATATTATTTTTTTATTTTACTAATAAATTTTAATTTTCTTCTCAAATGTGTGTGCAACAATTTGAATTTTACCGATTAAAGAATCGTAAATATAAAAAAGTTGACGTAACACAATGTAATCCTGTGCAAAACGTAATTATATGATATCGTAATATTTACGTACTTATTATAATATCGTACTTATATTTCTGTATGCAATTTTATGTACATGTTTTTTTCGCTTTTATTTATACTTTTTTTTTAATCTAATGTAAGAAGTTTAAAAAATATAATTCACTTTCTAGAGGGATATTTTTCAACTTGCATGCAACAAACTAAATTTCTTAAGTACGTGACAATATATAGCGTAAAGATTTAAAAACTTTCAAAGAGAGATAAATTGTTATCTCAGATAACACATAAATATCTAGAAGATGGCTAACCATGATTAAACGTACAAATATCTTTTGATTACACACAATCGACGGAAGAATGAATGATTAAAAGATATCTGTATCATAAAAGTTATATATATGTTGACCAAGGTTATTTTATCTTGTTAAAGAAACAAATAAATTTTCCAAACTAATAAATATATATTTGGTCATGAGAGCCGTTCGCTAGGTGTTGTGCGGAAATTATACGTGTATATATATACATATATACGTGTTCACGTGTAAATTTTTTTACACGTGAAATTCGAATTGTAATAACAATTCTAAAATTCATATAGGATGCTATACTTGCATCTCGTATATGAGTGATCCCAAATACCCCCCTAATTGAAATTAAATTTATATTGCGAATAAAACTCCTCGGCCAAGAGTCGAACACCTGGAATCTCCGGCTTTCCGTGGGGTAACACCTAGCGAACGGCTCTCATGACCAAATATATATTTATTAGTTTGGAAAACTTCGGAGCCTTAAAGATTTAATTCTTTAATTAATTAAATAAATTTTGTTTAACTTCTTTTTGTACAGAAAAGGAGAAAAATGTCTTGACGAATATTTACACAATGTCAGAAAAATGTGTCATTTATACATCATTATGTAAAGTATAATTTAAATATTATATAATTACATGTAATTTTTTTAACATCATTACTGTGTTGTGCAATTTCCTTAAATTCTTCAGTTCAAAGCTGCTTCAAAGCGTCACATAATATTCCTGTTTATTTCATACAATGATACACTAATTGCCACAACGCTTATCTTTTAGATCTTTACTGCATTCACACACACAGTCATTTTGACTGGAACTAAATTCTTACTATATTTTTTTTGTGAACTTACTATAGCGTGTGAACTCGTTGCATAATTTATTGTCAACTGATGCATTCAACTGTGTTTTATCTACAGAACTTTTGTATTATTTATTTCGTTGTTAAAGAGCAAAAAAAATTATTATAGCCACACTAATTGTCTGTGTTGAATAGACACCAAACTATCGAAAAGTCACGGAGTGCATCTCGCGTCGCGTTATTAATGCAGACGCGTGTAGCGATCACACGCGAAATGCAATTCAAAACAGGTGCATAAAATTCTTTGTGCTACGTCGTCGTGAGACGGCATGAGGAGAAGGAGAAGGAAAAAAGACTCGTCGTGTGCAGCTAATCGCGCGACGAATTGGACAAGACGCAAAAACCGGAGAACTAGACCGAAAAATGTAACTGCGGCCATAATAAAAAAAAAAAAAAAAAACGTGAATTAGATATTTTGTAATTGTATATAACGATCGCGATCGATTTTTTAAAGAAACATCTCTTCTCTATCTAAAAGAAAATTATTTGTGTTTTGCAACGATATCGCCAAGGTCGAATCGAATTCATTTGAGAATTCATTTTTTGTTCAAAAGGTGAGTTAGGTTCAACTGATAATAATAAAGTCCTGGAGAAGAGAATATCCTAGATTATCCTGCGCAGAGCCTTTCAACTCGCGTACGGCGTGCGGCCATATAAGATCTCTATGCGGTCACGTCGTTCTCCACAAACTTCACTGTTCATAATATCAGCTTGTAATATCTAGAATAAATCATTAAAAATTCCGAAACTTCAAATTGTCATATCTCCTAAACCAAGGTCGTTCTCCACAAAAGTTTTGCAAATAATTACTCAGTATGACCTGTCCTACAACATATTTAAAGCGCAACAACAAAATCGATGAGGTGTGACTTAAAATCCGTATTAACCAAAAATGTTATTATTCGCAAAAATATATTAACGTCAATATAGGTATCTTTATCGAACAAACCAGAATCGAGTAAAATAGATATAGTATTCTTACAAAGAAAACAATTTTTTTTAATCAGCTTGGACCATCTGACGTAAAGAAGAAAAACAAATATTTCAGAGAAGAGAAGGATTCTTGATAAAAATTACAAAAAGCAAGATTACAACCCACACAGAACAAAAACTCTATTAGACGTCAACAGCTCCATGCGACATCTAATAGATGTCTAATGGATGTCTGGATGGATGTCCATCATGTGTGGGAAGAGTACCAAAGAAAATAATAAGCGCGTTATTACTTCTGCACACAGTGTGCAGAGAAAAGTACGAATTCATTGTAGACTGGATACAAATGTTTGTCGTGCGAAGAATGGACACACACAAAGAGTGTTCAACATATTTTAGATCATGGTTCCTATTTTTGCGCGATTATTGTGATACTAACTGATACGCCAATAAAATATCATTTTTCATCGTTATTTCTTTCGCTCGCACCCTCCCGTATGTATGTTGTTATCGGAATTGTTTTTTATTTGTAAAAACCTAATAAGGATTATACGTATGTCTTGTGAATTAAAAAGAACATTTATAAATAAACATAATAAAATTTTAGCCGAATGTACATACTATATTTGTACGCACATCTGTTCTGCACATCTCGTTACGCGCGCAAACGATTGTAATCATTTTGATATATTATAGGTACTCTTGAGAGAAAGATTATTTCTTACAAAAAACATAATTTTCTCTCTCTCTCTCTCTCTCTTACTTTATACAATGTTGCAAGGCAACGCGTTTTATAAGTCACAATGTGACAATATCTTAACGATGTAGTTAAAATAATTTTTAAACAACCTTGACTAATTTTTAAATAAATGTTAAGAATGAAAGCAATTTGATAACATAGTATACGATAAAACTGCGTTAATCTGATACGTTGATAAGTCAGTCAGTTTAATAGCTTGATCGTTGCAAGTAATATTAAATTTGGATGATATGAAATGCGATGCTTTATTTAATTCCTTTCGCTGATCTTTAAAATTTGTTTGTTTTAGCCGGATTATGAAACACGCCAAAAGAATTTAAAGAGATAAAGATATTGCGTATTGTTTGTTACACTTTGCGTCACGGAAAGATTTAAAAAATCTGAATACATTAATAGACACGTGTTTCGTCTCGAACTATATTAGACATGTTGATGGTATTTTTAAGGAATAAATGCATATTAAAATCGCGTCTTCATTACTTATTGAAAAATATGCAATAAACATTGAATGAATAATATATATGTCGCGTAGTACACGTGTTGTCGTAAATGAACGGACAAAACTTTAAAGTTCAAGGGAATATACGTATATTGATCAACACAGAAATACACGTGTGCGCTTAAAATGAAAGTTTTAAATCGGTCTGAAGGAACCGGCAAAATGTTTTTCGCAATGATTCCCCCTACGTTCTGGGTGTTTGTTGTTAAATTTATACGCGAAGCCAGATTGGCTCTCTAAATCACGGAGCAGGAAGTCCGAGGTAATCGGAAGCTTTCAAGGCTACACTGTCTAGTTGCTGGCGAAGAAAACACCATTGGGAAGATGATGCGCAGCTTATCTCGTCGGGACGTGACGAGAGAACGCTACTTCATAGAGAATCATGTTCGAATTTTTGTCCGAAACGTGTTGCACGCGACACGGCTCGAGTTCTTTCTCTCTCTCTCTCTCGCTGTAAAAGCGTTCTATTTTCTGATAAAACAACAAAATCGCTTGAATCAACATAAATTTACTTAAATATCAGAGAAAATTTATATCGTAAAATGCAAAACATATTTTACAACAAAAAAAACTTAAAACAATGTGCAATACATATTTTTATGTGTATTATAAAAAAAAAACTATATATATCCGTCACATTTGTTTTTGTATTTTGTGTATCAATAATAGCGGAGTTTTGTAAAAAAAAAAAACTGACAAGCAAATGTTGTGATTAGATCAGCGTAATTTGTACGTTATAAACAGAGAGACATTTCTCGCCGACGTAAGGTTTGCTTTGATTAGTGGATTATATTCTGCTTGGACTTCTTTTTCGACACTGTCACATGACGTAATAATGTGTTTAGTCTGCTGAATGTTTTAAACTTCGTGATATTTAGAGACGGTGTGACGGTGTGCGAGCGTCTGCTCCTCCACACAACGAGAAGAAAAAACGATGAATATCGTCTAGAAAAAATAACAGCGCCTGCGGCGCTTACGCGATATTATACAATCTTACGAAATGGTCGTTAAATATTATCGTTAAATATTAATAAGAACTTTCTGTCTATAGCGCAAACTTTCCATGTTTTTTTTCTTTTTTTTTTTTTGTGGTTATATATCAATCCACCGGTAATCTAATCCAACATCACATCATTAAACCGTTTTCCTGACGCGCTTGATTTACAACGCTCCTTGTTAGTCGATCGTAAATCCTAGACTATTTGAACAAGCCTTTTTTTT